GCATAGATATAGTTTTGAACTAAGATGTACAATCATACATTTTGTACAAGTAAGGAAAATGATAAATTTCAAGCTCCATATTAGTGTATAATAAAATATGAAGTTTTTAGATTAGCCTCACTAAAACTGATGTCAATAATCCTATATAATAAAACCCTAATATGCAAATAGACTGAACAGCGGAAGGACTGGTTGCTATGATGCGCACTGACCACCAGGGGGCAGGCACTCAATAGAGGGATGTCTGACTGCCGGCTTAGGCCTGCTCCCCGGGAAGCAGGCCTAAGCCGGCAGTCAGACAACCCCCAAGTGGTCCCAGACTGCGAGACCTCACAGTAGGCCTCTTCATGCACTGGGCCTCTAGTTGAAGATAAAGCCCTAACCGATTTGGCTCAGTGGATAAAGTGTCAGCCTGCAGACTGAATGGTCTTGGGTTCGATTCTGGTCAAGGGCACATACCTTGGTTGCAGGCTCCTTCCCAGCCCAGACCTTGGTCAGGGCTTGTGCAGGAGGCAACCAATTGATGCGTTTCTCTCACATCGATGTTTTTGTCTTTCCCTCTCTTCCACTCCCTAAAAAATCAATGGAAAAATACCCATGGGTGAGGATTAACAAGACAAAAAAAATAAGTAATTGAAGACATTATATACAAACAGTAATAAATAGTTTTTGCCCTGGCAGGTGTTGCCCAGTTGGTTGGGTGTTGTCCCATGCACCGAAAGGTTACTGGTTCAGTTCCTGGTCAGGGCACATGCCCAGATTGCAGGTTTGATTCTCGATAGGAGGGATGCAGGAGGCAGCCAATCGATGTTTCACTCTCACATTGATGTTTCTTCTCCCTTTCTCTCTAAAAAAATCAGTAAATATTTTTTAAAACCATTAAAAAAAGAAATAATTTTCAAAGAATCAAATCTACTTCTTCAAGTTCAGAACCTATCACCTAAATTTGTGAGTTTTTTTATTTATAAAACTAGAGGCCTGGTGCACAAAAATTTGTGCACTTGGGGGGTCCCTCAGCCCAGCCTATGCCCTCTTGCAGTGTGAAACCCCTTGGATGTCCACCCCCCCAGTGGGGACCCTCACCCCATGGAGGTTTGGCCAGCCTGGGTGAGGGGCTGATGGCCGTTTTCAGGCTGGCCACACCCCCTTTAGGGTGGGGG